CAAATGAATAGTCTCTCTCAGTGAATGCTAGGCTAAAATATACTAATACAGCTAATTTGCTGTCAAAACATGACAGGAGCATTTTATGGCGAGACTGTAGGAATAACATATAGCTAAATAAAACTGAGAAGTATCTACTATTGTAGGTAGTAGAGCCATGTAGATCGTAGTTTGCTGCTATTATGCTGAAAACACAATCCCCTAATTCATGGGGAAAAAAAATGATAGCCTGTGGATATGTGTCTTGCAATTAATACAGATTTGTTGTGAAATCTTGTTATTTTATTATTCATGTTAACAAGTATCAAGTAATATTCAGGATTAAAGCATAGAACATATCCAAGTCTCTTCTGTAAATTCAGATGCATTCTATTTGAGAGTAGATGTATGTGTGAAAAAAGCTAATGCTAAGTTATCAACTGCCAGACTTTCATTAATCAATCAGAGAAAATCATAGAATCACCAAGGTTGGAAAAAACCTACAAGATCATGCAGTCCAACTGTCCACCTATCACCAACAGTTCTCACTAAAATAGAGGGCCCTGCTCCATGTGCTGCTGCAAGAGAGCATCATGAGCTCAGGAAATTCGGGAGCATTTCTTGGCCACAAGCTAGTAACTGTGCATCTGCATCTATCTGAAGGTATGCAAAAATCTTTAGAATGCTTTCTTCTGCTTATGGATACGCTTCGTGTATGGATGTTTTGCTTGGATTCTGTTTTAACCAAGCGTTAGTCACCCATAAGATATTTTTAAGGGTTTCCTGGACCATTCAATGCTATAGTAAATGTGAGGAATAATGGGTAATATTGAATCTCATGTGCATATTGCTGGCATGTGAGTCAGTGCTATCTGAGCAGTTTGCCCATTGGCTACATTAGGTGATTTCTGATTACCATGCAACTGCATAAATGAAGGGTTTGTAATGAAAGTATGGCTTCCAATTATTTTTTGTTGAGAACATGTCTCAGCAATCCTTCCAGCTTGAGAAGGACACCTTATTTAATCATTTGAGCTGTCAGTCTTTGCTACCTCTCACAGACTAGTCTTCACTTGGGAATGGTGTGAGTACTGGAGGTGCACTGGAGAATGAAAATGAGATCCAAAAGAGAATGCTGCTTGATGTCATCAGAAGATTTAACTTTTCCTAAAATCAAATTGTGCTGGATGTAGTTTTTCCTGAATTCAAATTGTGCTGCATCTGACTTCAGTTTCAACAATGACAAGTCTCTTTTCAGCAGTGAATCACAGAATTGTAGGGATTGGAAGGGACCTCCAGAGATCATCAAGTTAATGCAATTGTTTTACTGAAAGGTGAAAAGGTTGAGATCCAAGGAGGCAAATGATTTGTATCTGTTTAAAAATGGAAGGTCTGCGATGGGCGATCATCAGATAACAAGCCCATACAATCATACAGCAGCCCCATTATTTGGACCCTTGTACAGGTCACAGGTTTCTCTAGATGAATTCAGCAGAGGAGGATGAAACTCAGTCTACTGTTCTCCTAGAATCCAGATTAACAAGCAGTTAATTTTGGTGGTGTGAGCAAGCATGATCAGTGCTAATTTGTTGAGATGTTATCCTGTAAAACCCTAAGGTTATATCAAGAGCCAACACAGGGAAGAACATCAGTAGTGGGCTCTGTCCTACATGTGCTTATTCTTGAGTTTGGTGAAAGAACGTAATATAAAGAGGATGCCTGAGCTCATGCTAGAGTTAAGATAGTGACACTGTGATGGATCAGAAGAATGCACAAAATGCAGTCTGCGTTGTACATAACGTGCTCAACACAGTCTGTGCTAACAAAGCTGGTGCCATTGATTAAGCTAGTGAAAGATGTTTAGGTGGTTATAGTGGAAAGAAAACAGTACTCTTAACTCTTTTAATTGTGGAGGAAGGAAGGCTGATAAAATATTTGTCTATGGTAGGGCAATGCCATCTAGCTACCTGTCTACCAGCTGTCAGGCTCCTGACTCATGTGTTATGCAAACTTCATCATTTTATATCCTCTGCTTTGCAGCAAAATGTCAAAGTCCTTCTAGATGTTATAGGCTTTTTAAATCTTGTCTTATTGCATTGTTTCCCATGAGTACCTTAGAGGTGGTATTTCCCAGATTTCCATGCTGCCCAACCCTTGAGAGCTTGCAGCAGGATGAACAGACCTCTTCCACACCAACCTGAGTGTGGGCTGGCTGCTGAAAACCTGTCTACAGAACCTGAGTGTCAGTGATACTTGTGGTGAAAACACCACAGATCAGATCTGCGTGTGCTTGGGGACACTAGAGATGTTTATCATTGGGGATGAGGTGGAAGGAGAGGACAAATTGGGCATGTTTGGTTTCTACTTTTTTTTTTTTTTTTTCCTTTAGATAGAAGGTTTCTGTGTGTTATTCAGTAATTGCTTCAGGTGGAAAAGCATTTCTCACCTTGCAGCAAAAGTATGCCTGGCAAAAAGAGAGAAGTGTTTTAAGAGCAGCACTTCATGCCGTTGACTTTCAGCCAGTATTAAGGCCCTTTGGGAACAGTTATAATTGGTGCAATTTGTAGCAGGCTTGAAACTGCTCTGGCTTTGGGAGGACTTCATGCTATCTGTTGGAGTTGCATAAATGACAGCATCACATTTGACTTTTTCTTCCTCCTGGACACAGCAAAGGCAGCCTTTGACTGAAGCTCTCAGACCTAGCTTGAATACAGTTATGTCAGAGTAAGCAAAAAGGTTTTGTATAATCAAAATGTGAATTACTTAAATCAAGTAGCTGTTTGAATGCTTTTGTAAACCACCCCCAGGCATAGAACTTTCATTTATTTTTGATTCATAACATCAACATTTTTTGAAGAAATAATCCTATGGAGATTAATGAAAGAATTTCAAATTAGTATTATCAACCCAGACTAAAGCATTTTAGCAAAGTACATATTCTTGAAAATTTGGCAGTTTTATGCTTTTGAAAAAAAGGTTTAAAAGATTATCAACCATGGTGCCATGCTGGCTTACAAAATGTGTATATATCATGTATATATCAGAATCTATTTGTCTCTCAGGTGCAATCATTAAGAGTTAAAATGTGTAACTGTGTACTTCATGCTATATTGCTCACAGCCAGTCTTTCAGAAGGGGCCCAGTTGTAGTCAGACATAGACAGTATTTTGAATATAAATAAAAGGCTCTGTTTTTTCATACGTTCTAGAAAGAGGAAAAAACAACCAAAAAATAAAAACAAGTCACATTTGGTGTGAAAATGTTAGGATTTTTAGGTTTAGATTCATATTTGTGTGTGTGTGTGTGTGTGTGTGTGTGTAAACCAGGGATCCATATATTCACTGAACAGATTAGCGTCTCAGTGACTTTTTTGTTTGTTTCTTTGTTTTCATTTTGTTCTTGTACCAGGTGTTTAAGAACTGGACATCAGTTTGGTTTTTCATTACCCAGCTTTCAGCATTATTTGCATATCTTTGTATTTTTTCATGGTGATCAACACTCAACTGTAGTAGAACTTCAGTCAATAAATTTTATGTGCAACTGTAAAAGTAATTTTATTTTTAGTGAGACTGTTCTAGGGATTTTAATATCTCTTTATAAATATTTATATTTTCAATATGTCTTCATTTAATTGAAAAGGTTCTTCACTTTATTTTCAGACAACCTCAGGTAGTAGACGTAATGACATACCAACACTCTGACCTTTTAGCTTCTAGATTTCCATTAGCTTATTCACATTTTGCTTGTCCGTGTGTATTATATTTTAGTTTGTATATGATTTTCATCTATGGATTGACAGAAAGAAGGATGTTTTCAGTACAGACACCTTGGGAAGGAAGAAAGTGTGCTATTGCATACTAGCTGCTGACATGCAGAGTGTCTCAAATAGTGCAATTAGTCTGCACGGCTACTAGAAATTCACACAGAAATAACGTTTGATGTTTGTATGGTCATTAGTCAAAAGGATGATATCAAGTCATACTCATCAATATAGCAACAGCTTCTGATATCTGTAAAGTTGTCTTGAAATTACTTACGTTATTTATCTAAACACAGTGCTCATTATGATATCCTGCTGCCATTGTTTTTTATAAATGTGCTCCGTGAGTTTCTTGTACTACCATTATCGTTTTCACTGGTGTAAAATTCATCATAAAAATGTAACTATGAAGAGGAGGAAAAAAATCACTGTCAATTCCACGAAGAGCCTTCTGGTGCAGGCTTCTTCACTGGGAGTCAGTTATTAATGTGATTTTTGCATTGTACCTTAATAACTCAGGCAGTTGGACACCTGCTGCTTCCTTGGAAAATAATTCACAATCTAACAGGCTCCCAATTTTTTTCCCAATACACAGTCTTCTTCATTCTTCTTTTTTGAATTTCTGCTCATGACTTACATGTAAACTGCCTGTCCAACGTCCTTTTTTTTGCTTATCATCTTTAATTATTGATAGCTTTGGCATTGGTTAGCATTCACAAATGATTCATATTTCTGAATAGTCCATTTGTTTGTACATTGTTGCACTTTTATTCCTTTCATTATGTTGAAAAACCTGCAATTCTCAAATAAACCCCCTGTAGTTGATCTGTCTGCTTGCTAAAAGAAAGGGCTGTGCAACATGAGTTAATAACACAGTAGTAATATTCACTGACTAATTCAACTTTATGTAAATCACACTAACAACTTGTTTCTGCAGGTGATGAAGTGATTGGGAAGATGTTGCAGTTGAAAAATACTTTTTAAGTTTTTGTGTAATAGCCTTTTTGCTTTTTAAACATCTGCTAGTTGTTACATACATTTAGAAGACACTTGTGGAAATGAAATGTTCTTTTTGTTTTCCATCATCTTTGAAGCAGAACTTACTTCATTATATATAGATAATATCTATATATAATTTATAACAGAACTTATTTGTTATCTAGTTCCATATGTGATAATATTAATTAAACTGAGTGTACGATTCTTGCAGTTCAGTGTTATGCTGAAACCTAAGGAAGTGTGTATGCTTTTGTTTCCCCAGTTTACACAAACCTGTGTCTCAAGGAGTGAGCCTGAATGACTGGCTTCACTGTGCTTTCATTACTTCTGAAGGTGGCCTGAAAGACAGGGAGGACATTGTGACCATTACCTATGGCCAGCTTAAGGACCTGGCAGCCCAGCTGCAGCAATCTCAGTCTGAGCAGCAGGACACCGAGCTGAAGCTTCAGAAGGCCTTGGAGGCTTTGAAGGAGGCCAATGAGAAGGTTCAGAGGTAAGTCACTTGCCTTCTTTCGAGAAAAACTGCAATGGAAAACCAAGAGAAAATACTGTTTCTTCTGGTATTTTTTCTTGAATGAAAGTATGATGCTACTCATAACTAAGTTCCTTCCAAATTTCTTTCTTCCTTTCTTCCTTTCTTCCTTTCTTCCTTTCTTCCTTTCTTCCTTTCTTTCCTGCTTTCTTTTCCTTCTTTCCTTCTTTCTTTCCTTCTTTCCTTCTTTCTTTCCTTCTTTCTTTCTTTCTTCCTTTCTTCCTTTCTTTCTTCCTTCCTTCCTTTCTTTCTTCCTTCCTTCCTTCCTTTCTTTCTTCTTTCTTTCTTTCTTTCCTTTCTTTCTTTCCTTTCTTTCTTTCTTTCTTTCTTTCTTTCTTTCTTTCTTTCTTTCTTTCTTTCTTTCTTCCTTTCTTCCTTTCTTCCTTTCTTCCTTTCTTCCTTTCTTCCTTTCTTTCTTTCTTTCTTTCTTTCTTTCTTTCTTTCTTTCTTTCTTTCTTTCTTTCTTTCTTTCTTTTTTTGTTCTTTTATTGACTCAGCTAAGAAGCTGATTTTAACAGTGCTGTGGCGGTTAGGATGCTTTTCACTTGTGTTACAGAAACTGCTTTCTGCATGTGCAGTGTACAGGGAAAATGTTTCCATTCCCACTGAATGATTTACACCCATGGCACTCCGATGACAACAGAGCATTTACCTTTAAAACTGCAAGGTGGAATCTTAAGTCTCTCTCATGATTTCTTGTCTGTTACATATGGGGCAGGATTCATTCAACAGGAAATGCTGTTGGATTTGTTTAGGAGTAGCTTCAAAATCTCACTGAAATCAGCAGGAAGTCTCTGAATGGCTGAGCAGAGATGATATTCTCTTTCCCAAAGTGTAATTCTCAAAAGTTTATCTCTACTGAAGTCATTATTGTCATGATAGTTATTGCTAGCATGTAAGTTTTTGACAGAATGATTTCTTGGAAATAGGAAAATGTGTAGGCAGTGCCTCCGCACAGTCTGGCACTTCTTATTTCTGTATTCCACTCCTTAGCCTCAAAGCACCCTTCCAAGGTTGTGAAGGCTGAACTGATGCAAATTTTCTCATCAGTCTATATTTGTTTTCAACTTCAGTGTCTGCAGTGTATTTCAAGAGCAACTAGGAATTGGCTGATAATATATTGCAGGGACCTAATGAGAGTTCTTCTTGAGTAAGTAAAAAATCATACTGAGTTTTCCTATTTAACAAAATGCAAATTATATCATTATTTTTAATGTATTTTTATCTACCTAAAAATTAATATTAGTATTTTTCATTAATTTTTAATATGAAAATTCTTATTTTCAGTCATCACTTTAAAACCTCCAGTGACTGAGAATTATTCAGGTCTTTAGTATCACTAGTTAGATGCATTTGAAACTTCAACAGATGCATTAAATGTGCTTGCAGAAAAAAAAAAACTATGAAAAATAACTACAGCACCTAAAAGTGAGTATTGGTAGTGCCTTTCTGTACAGTGCGTAATTTTAAAGTTGCTATTGCATTTCTTTTTATTTATAAACACTTGCAATCTACATTTAAGTGAAGGTTTTTGCTTTGTTTTTGTTCTGGAGAAGTCTTATTAAATCCTGTGTAACCAGAGTGCATGGAGCAGAAGTGCAGACACAACCTGAACTAAAGTTGCACTGATGCACTGCTGTAGTGCAAAGAATTTATGCAATTTAACATGCTCAAGTACTTGGGAAATTTTTGATCAGGTTAGTTTTCATTATTGCTGAGATCAGACCACTGAGCCTATAGCAAAATTAAACAATTGGGTGAAGTCTTTTGATGACAATAGCATGCCCTTTTTACCAAGAAACTGTGGAAATGCTCTGTGCGTCTTCCCAGCACCCAGAGTCATCCACCCCCATCTTATAATTCAACCTGCAAACAGATTAAGCAGCTGAGTTTGTGGAAAGTGTGTTTACTTTGAGCTAAGAACCCTTGTGTGACACTATAGAGATTCCTCTGACACCTCTGGGAGAACTACACAGACAGTTCTTACTCATCAGCAGGGAAACCAGGCTGAGAATTCCCAATTCCTTTGTAGCCTCAACTGCTTCATACAAATCAGTGTTTGGCAATTAGGCAGGAACTCATTTGTTAGCTTTTTATTTCCAAGATGTAGGATGCTCTACATTTCAAAAAGGAACTAGCATTTATAAACCTGTCAGCTGAAAGGCTTCATGATATTAATTGCGCTGGTATTAATTATTAGCAGTCATAAGAGCGTGCTTATTGTAATTGGAAATGAGATGTAAAAATTCATCACCTAAGCAGGGTTTTTAAATGTCTGTTTACCTGACTTCTTGTTCTTGTAAATGCCTAAGTAACATTTAATTCTGACATGAGACACACATTTAGCAACTATACAAAATAGTTTCTCAGTATTATTCAGTAAAATACCTGAATAAGTAACTACAGTTAAAAATTAGACAAGTAAAATAATTATGAGCTTCCCTAAAAAAGAATATAACTGGAGTAATTAATGTTGAAATAGAGTGTGCTTTGTATCTTGGTATCATGTGATTTATTAATGCTCACTGTGTCTTTGCTAATTGATTCTCTGTCCATAATTTCATTAATTTGTGTACTTACTTGCAGTTGTTGCTTTCTAAGTGCAAGATCCAAATCAGAACAGTGGTCCTGGGCTCTCTGTGATCAGGACACAAGGCATCTAAAAAATTTCTGGATCCTGTTCCACATGAAACAGCAGCTGGGAACCAGAAGGGGAATATACTGGAATCTGCTTATAGTGAACTTAGATGTAGTCAAATTCTGTTGACATTGAAAAAGGGTAAACATCTCCCATCAGCTCACAGCAGTGTGATGGATCTGTGCTCTTACCTGTGAAGCAGACAGGGATGGTATGAAACAGAAAACAGTGATGGGTGGAGAGTGGCTGCACAGATTTAGTAGCATTTGTTTGAATGTATTTTGGTTTTGAAACACTAACAAGATATATATTAGACTTTGAAGAAAGTATTATTCTGGTTTATAAATCAAATACGCATCTGAACTGTGCTGTGTGTGTAAATAAATACGTGTTCATGTACGCATAACGTAGTACATATTTTTTCAGTTGGAAATTACAAAAAATCTGCAGGACTCTAAAGATTTTTAACTGATGCTATACTCTGATTTTCACTGTGTCATTAACATTTACAAAGGACAAATACAGAGGCACAGGACCCCAAGGAGCGCTGGCACAGTGCCACAGGCTTGCAAGTGTGTTCTGCCGGAGTCAGGAGTCAGCTGCTGCAGCTTCAGCAGTGAGGTGGAGAAGGTGGCCTTAAAACCTGGCAAATTCATTAATGCCTCTGCCAGCAAGGGAAGAGAGGTGTTTTAAAACTGGCCTTCCCACTGGAGCCTCTGGGATTGAGGAATGGCTACCAGTGTCAGTGAGATCAGAGGAGATCATGGTGTAGTAGCAAATCAATATGAGCCAATTATCACTAAAGGTTGAGGCCATTTTTGATGCTTTTTTTTTTTTCCAGGAAATTTTTCTGCAATGACTTTGCAGCTAGAGTGAATTTTAATGCAGTTTATCTATCAAGGCTTTTATTCTTTTTCTCACAGTTTAATGATTCTGGCTCAGGAAAGTGTAGCTCTGCATCTGTGAACGCAGACTTTGCACACTCATATAGCTATGTGCAGGAGATGGCAGTGGAGGGTATGCATGTAGAATTTCTATGTAGTCCTCTAAAAGTAAACACACCACCATGCAGTAATGGTGCAGTGCTAAAATATAAAGCAGTAATTCTTACTTGTTTTGTCCTTAACTGACTATTAAAGAAACTGTCTTTTTATTTTCTTCCTTTTAAGGAGGAGCTCAGGAAAGTTAGTTACAGATTAGATAAAATTTATCAATATTTTGAATACAAGAAAAAAATAAACTAGTTCTAAACAGTCAGGTGGTTTTAGTAAAAAAAAAATTACTGCCTCTCACCAAAAAAAAACCCTGCAATTTGTAATAACACTGATTTGCTTTACCTCCTAAGGTGTGCTGTTTGACCACCTAGCTTTCACTGTTGTTGGAATGCACCCATGTATGAGTGGTCCCGGGTTTCCCTCTAGCATTTCTGAACATGATTTCTCTGTTATCAGAGTTGCTCACATAGTTTTGCTTTTTAGCTGATGCTGATAAATAAGTCTGTCAATAAGACAGCAGAAACAAACAGTTTTTACCAGCATTTGCCAGACTATAGAAATGAAAAAATTACAGTTGAGCATTTACTAAGTGATTGGAGTCCCCTTCTGCAATTAAAGCTAATCTGCCCTGCCAGTACAGGAGCCGTGTGCATTTCACATGGATGTCCAGGACATTCTCCAGTGCTCACTGGAGGGCCTAATCTCTCTCAGAATGATCGGAGCAGTGCAGCTCAAGAACAAGAATGAATATTTGAATAATCACACCACAATGCGAGGTGACCTTCCGACAGGGGACTGACCAGATACACATATGGATTTTGGGAAGACGCTCTGATGCTGTTTTTTAACACAGCTGTGAGAAGAATGTGGCTAAGACCCAGTAGTCTTTCTGGAGTATAGCTGGCAAAGGAAACCATGAGGAGAAGAGAATTTAACACATGGGTGTAAGAGAGTCCGCTTCATTGATGCGATCTGAGGAGAATGTCTAATGACTGAAAGAATCAAACTTGGCAATGAAAACACAAAGCTCTTTTCATCAATTCAAACGCAGCCTCTAAAGCTGCAGATGGTTACCTCCAGCCTTGCCTATTCAGTGTGGGGTTGTGTAAAATGGCACTTTGGTGAATACTAATAGATCAAAACAAAGATTTAATAACATAAAGATGGAGTGTTCATTTTTAAATGAGGATACAGGTCAGTGTCTCAGAAAAGAGTAAAATAAGTATCTTTATGTATAGGTCTAAGGTCCCTGGAGATTTTTAACAGCAAACATGGTATCTTTAATGTACAGTTTGTATTCAGTACAGCACAACTATGCAGGGAGCAGG